ATTATTACACATTTTGATAAAAACACGGAATAACTGCAGATTGTTATTTCTTTGTTAGAACTTTCAGAGTGACTGAGCATAGCCTACTTCTTTAATTGATATCAAGTAGTATTATTCAACTAAAAAATGTTATAGAATCTAACAAGCGAGTTTTTTTCATTGAAACTTGAAAAATAAATGAAAAATAATTACCCGAAAAATGTGTGTTATTATTACCTTCGCCACACTTCTAATAAAGCTCAAAAAGTTTAGTATCATTGAAAAATTCCGTTAATTTATCTATCGTTTCTAACTTTCAATTAAAAAAATATATTCAGAAGCGTATTTTGGACACCCAATATATCAAAACCGAAGCGTTCAAAAGAATATATGTTCATAGGAAGTTTTTTTATTATTTCAACGGGTACTATACGCTGTTAAATTTTCTGTTTTAAAAAACGGACCACCCTGTATATTGTCTCAGTTATTATCATGAACCTGAATATTTCTCAATACTTCATCACCCTGTATATCAGAAGTAAAGACTTTTAGGATATACGTTCATATGAAGTTTTCTTCTCAAAATGAGTCAAAGAATCAACCTCTCAAATGTTAGCATGTCTTTAAGGAACACCCTGTATACCTATCAACCTGCCAAGAATAATTTTATAGAAATTGATCGAAAGTGTCCCCGTTATACAGTGGTTTCGTAAAGTACTAAAATAAATTCATATTTATCCTATTTATCCTAATGCATACAAAATAATTCGTGTGGGACAAATTACGTTTCGGTATTTCGGACGCACTGTATACAAAAACTATGTGTAATATACACGGTGATTCAAAATTGGATATGAATATTTCAAGGACGTATTGTTATTTTTGAATTCAGCATTCCAGCATTATGTAATGATATTTAGGGTGTTCCATTTGAAAAAATTGTCGCGGACACATAAACCGAACGTGGATCACCCTGTATATTCAATTTCTCCTTCTTTAGAAATAGATAGTTTGAAGTAAAAATGAATGTATCTAGTACTTCACGAGATCACGCAATTTAATGGACGCACTGTATACAAACACTATGTGTAATATACCTTCGAATTTAGCTATCGATGAAGATTCCAAATATTGAATGATATATAGGGTGTTTCATTTGAAAACATTGCAGTAGACGTCATAACTCAAACGTGGATCACCCTGTATATATAAATTCTCCTTGTAAATGTGGCAAATTGAGAATGAAAACCAACCTGTTTTAGGAAATTCCTTAGAACTGGGTAGTTTGGCAAAAAATGAATTAATTCAGTACTTTATGAAATCACTTTATAGTAACGTAAATAAGACCAGTATACCTAAACGGATTTTTCTGAAATTTGGGACAGTTATGTAAGCAACCATTTCGGATTTGATGACATTACAATACAATATGGCGAACTTCCGGTTTTTCTAGAAATGCCATTCCTACTAGAGTCGAATGCCATTCTTGCGAATCTCGCATAAAAACAGTGAATTCGGATTAATTTTATCAGGTTCATCAAATGACGAAAATATCCTGGCTAGTAAAAACACACTTTACGCCTTGAAAAGGAGTGAATTTGCGATAGAAAACAACCTGACGGCAACATTTGAAGACTTCTGAGCGGTTTGTTTTGATGAATGTGACCAATAAGCAGAAACAAAAACAAACAAAAACTGAAGCCTGTATTTTCTCTAGATAGGAGGAACTCAGTATGCCCGATATTGTAATGTCTGGCACCACCATCCCCACCAAGCCCACCATATCTATGCTCGGTATTTCCATCAGCAACACTCTTTCAGGATAATCATGTCAGATCCATCGCAAAAGCTGCTTCACAAAAACTCGGATTCTTGGTCCGTGCGAAAAGCTACTTTACACCTCAACTGCTTCTCATGATCTACAAAAGCGCAGATACGGCCTGTTCTAGAATACTGTTCCCACATATGGGGTTCAGCACCAAAACATACGCTGATGCTCTTAGAGTCCATCCAGAGAAGAGCCATTCGCCTGGTGGGTGACGCCATACTCACTCACTCTTTGACATCATTGGAACACCGCAGAAAGGTCGGCGACCTTTCACTTTTCTATCGATACTTCCACGAAAATGTTCTGCGGAAATCTCTGCTATCATCCCTTCACTAGCAATACCAGTCAGACGAACTAGACTATAGCCCAGTCAGCACATCCTTTCGTTGTCAACCTCGAAAGATGTCGAACAGCACTTTATCAAAACTCCTTCTTCCATAGAACGGCTATGCTCTGGAATTCATTGCGTGAGGAAGTATTCCCAACAACATATAATATCCAGAAGTTCAAAAAAAAATTCAATACCTACCTCCTGTCCCTATCCTCCCTAGGAACGCACGATGTTCTTTGTCTTTGAACATTATAGGGATTTCCTTTCGTGCGCTCCAAGCGATAAAAAAAAATGTGAACCAATGAAAACAAAGTAAACAGGCCGCTTCGACAGCTGCCAAATACTCCGATAGATGGCGTACGCTTATTTTCTATCGCGAATAATGGTATAGGTTTTGAAGCTAGTGGTGGAAAAAATCATTTACCTAATTCATTATAATCTTGTCAATAACGCTATATCGATTGTGATCCATTTTTTTCTATAATTTATCTGAGAACATTCCTTTTCAATGGGGTATGCAATTTGAAGAGCCAAAGTAAGGGGTGGTTTCTAGCAATTTTTTGATACAAGGTTGATTTGATTTCACTATTTTGAAGGGCATTTGATCCCATAAATTCAATAATTTTTTGAACTTTTTTTGTATATTATAGGTAGGTAACCCAGGTCTGCTGGCCTAAAATAGTATATCTCCTTAGTAAACCCACTTACTTTTATTTTCAATCGAATAAAAATATGGCGTTTCAAGTTTTTCTAAAGGAGATATTATTTGAGTGGCATTTTGTATACAGAGAGTATAAATGATAAATTATTATGATGAAATTATCCATGATCATTCAAAATGTTTGAATCAATGAGATATACTAGTCATGCATAGTTATAAATAATATGTATTTGATATAAATAAATATAAAGTATAATTTACATTCCTATAATAATATAATTACTAATAATAATAATAATATGAGAACATAATGTCTGTATTTTTTACATAGCACATCTGTTTCCAAGGCACATTCTCCTCTTGTGATAAAAAATTAATAAAAACATTGGGTTGATAAAAAACCAGTACAATATTTCTAGGGTAAGGGAAAATAACCTGAATTATCATTCATCACTCTGAATTACTAGAAATATCGCAGGTACCTACCTCAAATCATTAAAAAAAAACGTACGTACGTACGTTTTGTGCACCATTTCATTACGTAGGTAGGTACGTATGAATTGTACAAACAGTGTGTAACAACACTATAATTCATTAACATTTGGCCGGTTTGCAAAATTTTTTGAAGATTATAAATTCGAGACTAAACTCAAGAGTCACTTCAAAATGGCAATTTTAAATGGGTATTTTGAAGAAAGTTGTTGAACCTTCCAAGTTTCTAGAAAAAGAAAGCAAATCGCACAAGATATACAGAGGTTATACCTCACTGAAATTTCTCGTGACCTGTTTCCCAAACATAAATCAGAAGAGAAGTTCATGTGAAAATGGATCCGAAAAGTCTTCTTCAAGAGTCACAGCCCTTTGAAGATATAGCTCACTAAATATGATTTAATATTTTCAGCACCATTCAAAATCTCATAGGTACTCGATCGAATTTTTTAAGAATATACATCAAACGTTGTTGGAGGTATCGAATGAATTAGGTATTTATTGTAATAACGGTATAAAAATCAGCAGGGAGATTCTATTTCACGAATCGAGTCGAATCGGCCATCTTCGATATTTGGTATTCTGTTTCTCGAATGAATCGTGTAAACTCGACTCGATTCCTCGATGGCTCAAGAGGAGTCGAGTCGATGCGTTTTGTCAATCTATCCTTATCTATCATCGAATGTTTCTTTTCATCTTCATCCCAATTTGAGGTTAGATCATCTTGTTCATGTGAAGGCACAGTACAGAACATAACCACGGCCACAGGATGATTTTCAGAGTCAAATGGTCGTAACATCGATATAAAATACTGTGAATCAGGCCAAGCCAAGTAAATTCATTGGGGCTTTGCGAGTGAACTCCTGAGAAATGACATAAGGTAGCATCTTTGCTATGATCTAGTTCACAGGAAGGAAGGAATGCTCGAAGTCATCTCCACAAATTTTAATGATATTTTTAACTAATTCATGAGGGACATGTTTCGGTCTTATAAAAGACCATCTTCAGCCTAATTGAAAAGTCTACAATACAGAAACAAATGATATTGAAATGAAAAGATTACCTATTTTATGCTAGACTTACTTGGAGTTGAAAAAATTATTTTCTGCCAATGCCCATAGTCGAGAGTTCCAAAATGAAAATTGAATAAACGGGTTCATTTTGGAACTCTCGACTATGGGCATTGGCAGAAAATAATTTTTTCAACTCCAAGTAAGTCTAGCATAAAATAGGTAATCTTTTCATTTCAATATCATTTGTTTCTGTATTGTAGACTTTTCAATTAGGCTGAAGATGGTCTTTTATAAGACCGAAACATGTCCCTCATGAATTAGTTAAAAATATCATTAAAATTTGTGGAGATGACTTCGAGCATTCCTTCCTTCCTGTGAAATATTTCACTCCACTTTGAGCAATATGGACTTCTACCAAAGATTATGATCTAGTTGCATAAAACCTCAATGCACAGAATATTTGATATTCTGTATACCTACTCCCTTCATACTTTGACCTATTTACTAATAAGTAGGGCCACAATAATAGTATCAGAAGACGAATCGACCTTTTGTTCAATCTAAATAATAAAGGATGAGGTAGGTTCCTTTTTTTTTATCGTTTGAAGCGCAAGAAAGGGAATCGTGCGTTCCTAGGAATTAGATCCAAATGTCTTTGCCTACAATTGGAATTATTTGTATTTTTGTCTTGGGATTGAAAAAAATTGAAATTCGATAACCTCAAATTTGTGATGGCCTTGGGGCTATGGCCTCGGTGCTCGATTCATTGGATCTAAGATGGCTACACTTGTAGCCATCTTAATTGGATCAAAATATCATTTCATTTCGCCAGGAAACCGACGATTTACGAAGTCGAATTCGATCGCGACTTGATCGACAAATAGAATAGGAAATGAATTCGACTTCGAGGTCATCATCGTATCGTACGACAATCGACGATCGTGAAACAAAATCCCCCTGCAGGTCTAGAGTTATTTCAGAGGAGTTTTGAGAGGAGCCAATTTTAACGAAAGAGTCCTCATAATCTCGGCAGGGATGCCATGGCAGCCGCTTCCTGGTTGTTCGCCGCCGAGTACTTAGGCCGGCACACGCAGCCGCTCTCCACCAGCACGTAGTCCTGGCCTGTCAATGTGACAGGCCCGAGGGGAATCACCAGGAAGAGGTAGGGCACGTAGGTCTGCGTACACTCGCCCCGCACCACGTCGCATTCGGTGCTCTCGCACACCTAAAATCGAGAGAAATAGAATAGATTAAAATAGAACAGAATAGAATACCTTTATTTATTCAAGAAGATCATACCCAGCGAGCACAAACATCCCTGGGATGTTTTGAAAATGTTGGCATGAAGATGTTATTTTGAGACGTAATATGCACTGATCAAAGAGGTCTTTGAAGGATATTGAAGTATTGTTTTTGTTCTTCTGTGGCATTTCTTTGTTTGCCTACTGAGAGAGGTATCCCTGGGATGTTTTGGAATGTTTTAGAAATGTAGGCATGAGGATGTTTTTATTGAGGCGTAATATGCACTTCTTCCCAAAGAGGTCTTAGAAGGATATTGAAAGTATTGTTTTTGTTCTTTTGTGCCGTTTCTTTCTTTGCCCCACTACAACGTCTCATGCTTACGTCACAATACGATGAATTCTGATTTGTTTTCGATTTTGTTCTTCTTGTTCGCAATTGGCATTCGCGTTTGCAGCGTGTCACGCTTACATCACGCTGCTAACGATAACAGAAAGGAATTTGGTGAAGTTTATTGTGTTAGAAGACTTATTTGGTTTGTGATAATGACCATCAGATGCAAGATGTGTTGTTCGGTGCCTCAGTGTAATCAATATATAAAAGTACGAATTCATCAATACACAGCTTCTCCGCAGTTGCAAAATTATGCATTGTGGAGAACATTTCAAAAATTGGGAAACCTATTTCCAATTATATGTCTGTGTGTAGTAAGCACTACTCAGAAACCGATTAAGAAGGTAATTTCATATCAAGAAAATATTTTTATATTCAATCTATTTTTAATGCATTTTTTCATTCAAGGGAAATGGAATCCTAATGCAAAAGTTCATTTTGACAAAAGGCTTCAGAAAAGTACCTCGGAAATGGTTTTTTTACAGCGATTTAATGTGCGTTAAGACGCGTTGAAAATGTTTTGTTGTGTCCATGAAAAGGCTTTAAAAAGAACTAGGGAGAAGGTAGTTTTGTGACATATCAAGGACATCTCGATAATTACCGCCTGCGGCGGACATTGGCTGTTCTATGATAGTTCTATTCATGTGTGAACAGAACATCGCAGTGGAGGTTCAATGTCTCGAAATCTCGTACTTTTAACATCTCTGAGATGTTTTTGTGCTCGCTGGGTACATTCATGATATAGGACAAGTCATAAAAGTTTTTACAAATTTTCATCATTACTTATAGACGGGAGAGCCAGAGCCAAAAAGATTCTCTGAATTTACTAAGCCTAGTTTTTTCACAGTTTATTACAGTGGTTTTGTACACAAACATACTGCGGTCAGTCAAGCGAAACTGAGAACAGGTGTCCCTGGTATACTATCGAAGTTGTCGTTCCTACCGAGGTAATGCAATGAATTTACTAAGGCTGTAAATCATTATACACATTGTATATTGCATATGAATGAAAGTTATGAAAGTCAGTCAGCTGACGGGAGGGGACGGGAGCTGGTCAGTCAGCCGCAATGTATGCAAAAGATGATTGAATTGCAATTCATTTACTACACCTCAAAATTTCTGTGAGGATATTTGTTGTTATATCCATCATGAAGAAAATGATCAGTCATCGATTCTGCGGGACAACGTACTAGGTAGGTACGTACTGGGGACGTCCAGATTCTGCGCATATGTACATCCCCAGTACGTCCATTCGGGACCATGAATACCTGAATCAACGTACATTCGCCTTTTTTTACTCAGATAGTTAAAAAGAGATCTAGACACAGTAGAAGAGATCTTATTCTGAATATATAATTTAAAAAAATGCGCTCCTACCGGGGATGGATCCCAGGACCTTAAGATTACCGGGCAGATGTTTTAAAGTCGTTTATTCTCTGCATAATATTTACATCACATAAAAAATCACACATATTGTATAAATGAAAAGAAATTGTACATATTCAAGAGCTGTATAGATAAAATCCTCCGAGTGAGACAGAGGTGGCTGGTGTTGACCTAATAATGTGAGTGCATATTTGGAGTGTTCGTCATAGCGGCCTATCTCCTATAGGGTTGAGCCCTTTATACAGGAAATCTCACTGAGGATACCCAATGGGTAGGGAAATTGTTCAGACGCTATCAGTGGTGAGTGTTGCGACGTCAGTGCGCGACTTCCCTTCATAACATTTCAACAAGAAGGGTCCAATTTTACGATGATGGAAAGGCTTATTGTTTCCGTTGCTCACCTCAAAAACTACTTGTTGTAGGAGGTCCGGGAATTTCTGGACTATTGTCACCGGCTGACCGGAAGTGAGGGACACTCCGTACATTGGGGCAGTCGTGTTGTACCTGGTCTTGCAGAGTCTACCAGGGGTTCCCCCGCATGCATTCGATGGAGATACATTGGCAGCACGAGCTAAAATCCAAGAAATCGTACCAATATACATAGATTGCTGATTCATGATTATAAATACTAATAGCTGAGAATTTTCGATAACCATAACACTTTTACTTTTATAGTGGTCAAAATTCACACTCTCACTAGTTAGTAATTGAAACAATTAATCATACATCTCTTCTGAATTTTTTTATTATGTGAAATATGTCATTCATCTGACAGCTGTCAACGACTACCAATTACAACATGAACTATCTACAAGATTTAAGGCATAAAAAAATCATTGTATTCGGGGAATATGTATCAGCTTCTGTTAATGACGTATTTACTCTGCAAAAAAGAATATTGAGAATAGTGGCAGGCGTTCCTTCTACCCACTCTTGTAGAGGATTGTTTGTGAAATACCATGTATTGACACTTTTTTCTTTGTATATTTATGAAATATGTACTTTCATTTTCATGAACAAAACAAAATTTAATCTCAATAAAAATCTGCATAATGTCAATACACGACAAAAAAATAATTTCCATATCCCATTTTATAAATATAAAGTCTCGTAAAACTCATCTTCTTATATGGGTGTGATGATCTATAACAGATTGCCGAATGAAATTAAAAATTATAGTGATATTAGAAAGTTTAGCACAGCTTTGAAATGTTTTCTTACTAAGAATTGCATTTATTCTTTGGATGAATATTTTAACGTGTAAAATAATGAATATTTATGTAGAATCTTCGTCGTTCTGTTCGTATTTTTTTTGTTCCATGTTTTGCATGTTTCTTTTTCTTACTGTCTTTGACCATTCCTATACATATGTAACTATGTCCTATTGGAAAATAAATATTATTATTATTATTATTATTATTATTATTATTATTATTATTATTATATATACTCAAGGTACCAATTATTGACTTCTACCTGAAGAAACCACTTGTTCCTCTCAACGATCAAGCTGAATACCTACTCGATGTCTCTGACATAAAATGTATCAACATTACTCATCGAACGTTGCACTTTCGTCTCCTCAAAATTATTGTACCTATTACTTAGAGTTCCTAAATGTACTTGACACTGCTGTTTTGACGTTTTTTGTATATCAACGTCAAAACAGCAGTGTCAAGTACATTTAGGAACTCTACTATCACTTGCCTTCCCTTCCTTTCAAGACCACGCCCAAAGCTGACCTATCACCTTGTATAACTTTAGCCACACCTTTTCCATCAAGGAATATTCAGTTTTGACCTTCACAAGAAAATAAATGAAATTTTGACCCAGAACACCCATTGCTAATCTACTGCAGTGGAGAGGTGGTTTTAGCCCTACCCACATGGAAACTAACCTAACATATAGTTACACGCTTGATAAGTCTTCATACTCAAGGGTTCTACCATGGTTCTACTTTCGAAATGGAAGTATTTTCAAAGCGATTCTAACTTATTCCATCATAATTAGTCAGGAAAGTACGTGAAAAATACGCAATTCAAAAAATATTCTGAATCACAATTCTATTAGGAAACATTCAATATCAGTCTTGGGATTCATTTGAAACGTTTCAGTTTAAAATAGAGTATATGGATTCAAAAATCCTTACCTTGCCTGGATATCGTGGGGGATTCACCAAGATTTTGTTCGTGAGCAGCTAGAAGGGCCTTCCTCGTCAGGAAAGGGTCGATTGTCTTCTGAGACCTTCCGGTTCTAAAACTGCCAGACCAAGGATTTGATCCGCGAAAACTTCTGTCTATGGCAGCGCTGAAAATGCAAATGAAATGCAATCAATGCTGTTTAAAGGACCCCGCACAAATCGAATGCAATTTTGATTTCTGTCAATTCACCTGAAATTTTGGGAGGATGTAGTTCAAAGTGTGCTGAACAAAAGTCTCCATGGGGTCAAACGATTTCTTTGAGTAGTTTTCGTGCTACGCTCTGCTGAATCCTCTGATGCTACGTATAGAAAAAACTTTACTAAATGATCTACAAAGGTAAGGTGGGTGTGGTTGTGTGGGTGCATTGTGGGTGTGTGTGTATACAGGGTCATACAAAGAGGCCAAAGAACCTGTCACGTCCACGTTCGTTGGCCTTGAGTAGCGCAAAGAACAGGTAATATGATTAATGATATGACAGTTGATAGATGTCAATGTATGCAAAATATAGTGATGAAATTTAGCTTAACTAATCAGCAAACTTCCTGAATTCCTGAATTCGACTTCGATACCTTACAAGTTTTTTTTCTATACGTAGCATCACGTTCGTTGGCCTTGAGTAGCGCAAAGAAGATGTTAATGTATGTAAAATATGGTAATGAAATATAGCTTAACTATAATCAGCAAACTTCCTGAATTCCTGAATTCGATTTCGATATCTGACAAGTGCTTGTGTACCCCCTTTGTAGATCATTTAGTCAAGTTTTTTCTATACGTAGCATCAGAGGAATCACGAGAGCGTAGCACGAAAAATACTCAAAGAGATCGTTTGACTCCATGGAGACTTTTGTTCAACACACTCTGAACTACATTCCCCCAACACACGCTAAAAAAAATTCTTCAAGATATCTAATGGATGTTGGTGGAATTGATTGAGATATCTTATGGATATCACCCAGCGAGCACAAAACATCCCTGGGATGTTTTGGGATGTTTTGAAAATATTGGAATGAGGATGTTTTCTTGATACGTAATATGCACTTCCCAAGGATATTGGAAGTATTGTTTTTGTTCTTCTGTTGCATTTATTTGGCTGCCTACTGAGAGGTATTAGAGTAATAAAAATAATGTTAACATATGTGGATGTCATTTCTGAACATAACATATCCTGCCTTGAGAGGTTTATTGCAGATTTTCATTATTCATTCAATTTTCAGTTTCATAATGGTTTTCGTAATTTTTTTTCAATAACTCCACCATTTTACACACAATTGAACATCATTCATGTGAATTATGAATCTCAGCATATTTAATATTTTTTCAACTCAACTTATTTCAATACTAACGACCTATTTTTCTCAGAACAGAAGCAACGACATAATATAAAAAATGACCGGACGTGTCGTCCATTAATCCGTAATAATATCCCAAACAGAACAGAATATGTTCATATTTATTTTAGAATATTCTGATAGAATGTTCTCAGAACGATCATTCAATTTGTAATTTATAATTGAATATATACCTCCGAGTATACCTCACTCAGTATATATGATAATTTCACCATATCAACATGGATTTATGGCCGAACGCCCAACGGTAACAAACTTAACTGAGTTAACGCAATACGTGTCGCTGCCAAGTAGATTTTATCTACACAGATTTTGCTAAAACGTTTGACAGAATTTACCACCTTTTTCATTACAGAAACTTCATTATTTCGGCTTTCATTTGCCAGCTGTCTTATTCCTCAAATCCTATTCAACTCAACGATATCAGTTTGTTTCCTATAATGGCTTCAATTCAAATAACTTCATTACTACCTCTGGGGTTTCACAGCGTTCGAACCTAGGTCCCCTTTTATTTGCATTATTTATCAATGCAAAAATTGCAAGAATTCCTGAAAATTGCAAAAATTGCAAAAATCGCTAAAATGCCTGAAAATTGCAAAAATTGCAAAAATTCCTGGAAATTGCAAAAATTCCTGAAAATCGCAAAAATGTCTGAAAATTGCAAATTGCAAAAAATCCTGAAAATTGCAAAAATTCCCGAGAATTGCAAAAATTGCAAAAATTCCTGAAAATTGCGAAAATTGCAAAAATTTCTGAAAATTGCAGAAATTGCAAAAACTGCAAATATTCCTGAAAATTACAAAAATTCCTGAAAATTTGGAAAAGTTCCTGAAAATTGCAAAAATGCCTGAAAATTGCAAAAATCGCAAAAATGACTGAAAATTGCAGAAATAGCAAAAATTGCGAAAATTCCTGAAAATCAGAAAAATTTCTGAAAATTGCAAAAATTACTGAAAATTGCAAAAATCGCAAGAGTTCCTGACGATTGTAAAATTTGCAAAAATCGCAAAAATTCCTGAAAATTGCGAAAATTGCAAAAATTCCTGGAAATTGGAAAAAATCCTGAGAATGGCAAAAATTCCTGAAAATTGCAAAAATTGCGAAAATTCCTGAAAATTGCGGAAATTGCAAAAATTCCTGAAAATTGCAAAAATTGCAAAATCTGCGAAAATTCCTGAAAATTGCAAAAATTCCTGAAAATTGCAAAATTTGCAAAAATTCCTGAGAATTGCAAAAATTCCTGAAAATGAGAGAAATTTCTGAAAATTGCAAAAATTCCTGAAAATTTCAAAAATCGCAAAAGTTTCTGAAAATTGTAAATATTGCAAAAATCGCAAAAATTCCTGAAAATTGCAAAAATTCCTGAAAATTCCTGAAAATTGCGAAAATCGCAGAAATCGCAAAAATGCCTGAAAATTGCAAAAATCGCAAAAATGTCTGAAAATTGCAAATTGCAAAGAATCCTGAAAATTGCAGAAATTGCAAAAATTTCTGAAAATTGCAGAAATTGCAACTGCAAAAATTCCTGAAAATTGCAAAAATTCCTGGAAATTGCAAAATTTGCAGAAATTGCAAAAATGGATGAAAATTGCAAAAATTGCAAGAATTCCTGAAAATTGGAGAAATTCCTGAAAATTGTGAAAATTTCAAAAATTCCTGATAATTGGAGAAGTTCCTGAAAAATGCAAAAATTGCAAAAATTCCGGAAAATTGTAAGAATTCCTAAATTCCTGAAAATTGCAAAAATCGCAAAAATGCCTGAAAATTGCAGAAATTGCAAAATTCCTGGAAATTGCAAAAATTCCTGAAAATTAGAAAAATTTCTGAGAATTGCAAAAATTCCTGAAAATTGCGAAAATCGCAAAAATTCCTGAACATTGCAAAAATTCCTTAAAATTCCTGAAAATTGCAAAAATCGCAGAAATTCCTGAAAATTGCAGAAATCGCAAAAATTCCTGAAAATTGCGAAGATTCCCGAAAATTGCAAAAATTCTTGAAAATTGCAGATATAGCAATAATTGCAAAAATTCCTGGAAATTGGAAAAAATCCTGAAAATGGCAAAAATTCCTGAGAATTGCAGAAATTGCAAAAATTTCTGAAAATCGCAGGAATTGCAAAAACTGCAAAAATTCCTGAAAATTGCAAATATTGCAGAAATTGCAAAAATCGCAAAAATGCATGAAAATTGCAAAAATTGCAAAAATTCCTGAAAATTGCAAAAATTGCAAAAATTGCAAAAATTCCTGAAAATTGCAGAAATTGCAGAAATAGCAAGAATTGAAAAAATTCCTGAAAATAAGAAAACTTTCTGAAAATTGCAAAAATTCCTGATATTGCAAAAATCGCAAAAGTTTCTGAAGATTGTAAAAATTGCAAAAATCGCAAAAATTCCTGAAAATTGCAAAAATTCCTTGAAATTCCTGAAAATTGCAAAAATCGCAGAAATTCCTGAAAATTGCAGAAATCGCAAAAATTCCTGAAAATTGTAAAAATTGCAAAAATTCCTAAAAATTGCAGAAATTGTAGAAATAGCAAAAATTGCAAAACTTACTGAAAATAAGAAAAATTTCTGAAATTTGCAAAAATTCCTGAAAATTGCAAAACTCGCAAAAGTTCCTGAAGATTGTAAAAATTGCAAAAATCGCAAAAATTCCTAAAAATTGCAAGATTCCTGAAAATTGCAAAAATCGCAAAAATGTCTGAAAATTGCGAATTGCAAATAATCCTGAAAATTGCAAAAATTCCCGAAAATTGCAAAAATTCCTGAAAATTGCAGATATAGCAATAATAGCAAAAATTCCTGGAAATTGGGAAAAATCCTGAAAATGGCAAAAATTCTTGAAAATTGCGAAAATTGCAAAAATTTTTCTAATTTTCAGGAATTTCTGCAATTTTCGCAATTTCTGCAATTTTCAGGAATATTTGCAATTTCTGCAATTTTCAAGCATTTTTGCGATTTTTGCAATTTTCAGGCATTTTTGCGATTTTTGAAAATTGCAAAAATTGCGAGGATTGCAGAAATTGCAAAAATGCCTGAAAATTTGCAGAAATTTCTGAAAATTGAACAAATTCCTGAAAATTGCATAAATTTCTGAAAATTGCAAAAATCGCAAAAATTCCTGAAATTTGCAAAAATTGCAAAAATTTCTGAAAATTGCGAAAATTGCAGGAAATCCTGAAAATTTGAAAAATTCCTGCAAATTGCAAATATCGCAAAAATTCCTGAAAATTGAAAATATTGCAAAAATTCCTGAAAATTGCATAAATTGCAAGAATTCCTTAAAATTGCGAAAATGCCTGAAAATTTGCAGAAATTCCTGAGAATTTTAAAAATTCCTGAAAATTGCAAAAATCGCAATAATTCCTGAAAATTGCAAAAATTCCTGGAGATTGCGAAATTACTGAGAATTGCAGATTCCTGAAGATTGCAGAAATAGTAGAAATTGCAAAAAAAATTCCTGTAATAATGAAAATTTCTAAAAATTGCAAAAATCGCAAAAATTCCTGAAAATTGTAAAATTGCAAAAATTCCTGAAAATTGCATAAATTGCAAGAATTCCTTAAAATTGCAGAAATGCCTGAAAAATTGCAGGAATTCCTGAAAATTTTAAAAATTCCTGAAAATTGCAAAAATCGCAAGAATTGCTGAAAATTGCAAAAATTGCAAAAATTGCAAAAATTCCTGGAAATTGCAAAAATTGCAAAAATTCCTGAAAATTGCGAAAATCGCAGAAATTCCTGAAAATTGCAAAAATCGCAAAAATGCCTGTGCGAAAATTCCTAAAAATTGCACATATAGCAAAAATTCCTGGAAATTGGAAAAAATCCTGAAAATGGCAAAAATTCCTGAAAATTGCGAAAATTCCTGAAAATTGCAAAAATTGCAAGAATTCCTGAAAATTGCGAAAATTGCAAATATTCCTGAGAATTGCAAAAATCGCAAAAATTTCTGAAAATTGCAGGAATTGCAAAAACTGCAAGAATTTTTGCAATTTCCACGCATTTTTGCGATTTTTGCAATTTCTGCAATTTTTGCAATTTTCAGGAATTTTGCAAAATTTTTGCAATTTTGCGATTGCAAAAATTCCTGAAAATTGGAAAAATTCCTGAAAATTGAAAAAATTTCAAAAATTCCTGATAATTAGAAGAATTTCTGAAACATGCAAAAATTGCAAAAATTCCGGAAAATTGTAGAAATCCCTAAACTCCTGAAGATTGCAAAAATCGCAGAAATGCCTGAAAATTCCAAAAATGCCTGAAAATTGCAAAAATCGCAAAAATGCCTGAAAATTGCAGAAATTGCAAAATTCCTGAAAATTGCAAAAATTGCGAAAATTCCTGAAAATTGCAGAAATAGAAAAAATTGCAAAAATTCCTGAATATAAGAAAAATTTCTGAAAATTGCAAAAATTCCTGAAAATTGCAAGAATCGCAAAAGTTCCTGAAGATAAATTTGCAAAAATCGCAAAAATTTCTGAAAATTCCTGAAAATTGCAAAAATCGCAGAAATTCCTGAAAATTGCAAAAATCGCAAAAATTGCTGGAAATTGGAAAAAATCCTGAAAATGGCAAAAATTCCTGAGAATTGCAAGAATTGCAAAAATTTCTGAAAATTGCGAAAATTGCGAAAATTCCTAAAAAATGGAAAAATGCCTGAAAATTGGAAAAATTCCTGAAAATTGTAAAAATTTCAACAATTCCTGATAATTGGAAAAATTCCTGAAAAATGCAATAAATGCAAAAATTCCGGGAAATTGTAAAAATTCCTGAATTCCTGAAAATTGCGAAACTCGCAAAAATGCCTAAAAATTGCAAAATTGCCTGAAAATTGCAAAAATGGCAAAAATGCCTGGAAATTGCAGAAATTGCAAATATTCCTGATAATTGCAAAAATTGCAAAAATTTCTGAAAATTGCAAAAATTGCAAAAACTGCAAAAATTCCTGAAAATTGCAAGAATTGCAAAAATTCCTGGAAATTGCAGAAATTGCAGGAAAAGCAAAAATTGCAAAAATTCCTGAAAATAAAAATTCCTGAAAATTGCAAAAATTGCAAAAATCGCAAAAGTTCCTGAAGATTGTAAAAATTGCAAAAATCGCAAAAATTCCTGAAAATTGCAAAAATTTTCTGCAAATTCCTGAAAATTGCAAAAATCGCAAAAATTGCAAGAATCGCAAAAATGTCTGAAAGTTGCAAATTGCAAATAATCCTGAAAATTGCAAAAATTCCCGAAAATTGCAAAAATCGCAAAAATGACTGAAAATTGCAAATTGCAAATAATCCTGGAAATTGCAAAAATTCCCGAAAATTGCAAAAATTGCAAAAATTCCTGAAAATTGAATAATTGCAAGAATTCATGGAAATTTGAAAAAATCCTGAAAATGGCAAATTCCTGAAAATTGCAAAAATTCCTGAAAATTGCAAAAATTGCAAAAATTTCTGAAAATTGCAGAAATTGCAAAAACTGCAAAAACTCCTGAAAATTGCAGAAATTGCAAAAATTGCAAAAATTTTTGAAAATTGCCAAAATTGCAAAAATTCCTGAAAATTGCTGAAACTGCAAAAATTGCAAAAATTGCAAAAATTCCGAAAAATTGGAGATTTTTGCAATTTTCAGAAATTTTTTCAATTTTCAGGAATATTTGCAATTTCTGCAATTTTTAAGCATTTTTGCGATTTTTGCAATTTTCAGGCATTTTTGCGATTTTTGAAAATTGCAAAAATTGCGAGTATCGCAAAAATTGCAAAAATGCCTGAAAATTGGAAGAAATTCCTGAAAATTGCAAAAATTCCTGAAAATTGCAAAAATCGCAAAAATTTGAAAATTGCAAAAATTGCAAAAATTTCTGAAAATTGCTAAAAATCCTGAAAATTGGAAAAATTCCTGAAAATTGCAAAAATTCCTGAAGATTGCGAAAATTACTGAAAATTGCAAAAATCGCAAAAATTACTGAAAATTGTAAAAATTGCAGATTCCTGAAAATTGCAGGAATAGCAAAAATGGCAAAAAAAAAATCCTGCAATAATAAAAATTTTTGAAAATTGCAAAAATTCCTGAAAATTGCAATCTGCAATTTTCAGGATTTTTCCCAATTTCCAGGAATTTTTGCAATCATTGCAATTTTCAGGAATTTTTGCAATTTTCAGGCATTTTTGCGATTTTTACAATTTTCAGGAAATTTCAGGAATTTTTGCAATTTTCAGGAATTTTTGCAATTTTTGCTATTTTTGCAATTTTCAGGCATTTTTGCGATCCTGTCTCTATATGTAACAGGTTGATAATTGATTATTCCTGAAGTTTTTATGTTTTAAAATCGATATTCAATATCCCGAAAGGGGCGTACCATACCAAACTTTGATATCGCGGTTTGATTTAGAAAGTCTTGACGTAAGAAGAACGCGTGCTCTCATTATTTTTCTATACAAATTATTGCACTATCAAATTGATGCAAGTAATATAGTGTATCAATTGAAATCTGAAGTCCCCTATATATACCATGATTACCATGTGTCAAAACTTCAATGAAATTTCTGTTTACTGTGATATTCATCATGATACACTGAATTATATAGGAAATATGGCTATTCAATATCTGAATGAAAACATTATGTAATATGTAGCAGTTTTTTTTTCTTTTTTCTTGTATATTTCATAGATTGTAGTATTTTCATTCTTCTATTTCTTTTTTCTCTTTCCTTCATCTATATTTGAATATTCTTGTATATCATCCATCAAAATGTTTGTAACTACACTTTGAACTTTCTTTTAAATAATTTGTCCTGTAAATATGTAACTGTTGGGCAATAAACGCTATTATTATCATTATTATTATTCGTGGTTTTGGATGAGTACTTAACGGAAATATTCCCTTTTACAAACGAAATATGCTGCTGCTGCACTTTGGCGACTCTCACCATCAATCAAAATAAGCATGAATAAATGAGTTCATTATTTTCGTAAGCGTGGTAAGTATACATTTTTTGACAATGCACAGAAAAAACAATTGGGAAAGAGGATCCGATAACTAGCGGTAGTAATAAATTGAAAAAATGGATTGGAGACACACCTAGAGAAGAGATACACATACTTGTTGACTCAAAATATCATTACTGATCATATCTACCTACCAAAATCACAACTATCCACCACTCTATTTTCTTATATTATTATCATTATTATTATTATTGTTAGTTTACATAATGCTTTTATTATAACTATAGGAATATTTATATTCAAATTATATCATGTTTATATTATACATTATATTATGTTATATATCATGTTAAATTATATCATGTTAATGAATTTTTGTTTTAGCCGAGTATTATGAATGATACCTATATCTGTAATGTAACCAAACATACCACGTACAAGCTTGCTTCAGTAGTTCATGTTTGTTTATATGCTTATATACATATATCTAGAAAAAAAAATACTACTACTATCAATATTACTAATGTATATATTCATTGAATAAACTTTATTATTATTATTATTATTATAGTAAACACACTGTGTGAACGCTGGTAGGTGCGGAGACAGAACCGTGATGTTTTTTTATTCTTATTGAGGCGATAATTGGTGGGTCTGTACATCCTCTCCAAAAAGCCCAGATATTTTGTGCTGTCTGGGAACCACAATGGGTATACTAAATTTTACAAAAGCAATATAACGGTTACCTACTTTGGATATGGCATATTGTTGGGACCCACACAATCTGGATGGTCCAAGAGAGCGTCTCCCCATAAGTACTTCAAATTTCCCCCACCCTCGCATTTTGAAGGTATTTTTGCTATAGCCGAATTGACCAGCGAACAGAATATCGTCGTAGCCTGTAACAATATCAAAAAGGAAATTAATTTGGAAAGAAAAAGATGCAAATGAATCGAAAGAATACAGGGTGTCCCAAAATTGCTGGGGCATCAGAGAGCTACCACGTGTAATAGAGGTCAAAATAAGTTGACTGGACCCAATTTATTAATATACTACGTTTGTCCATGAGAAGAGTTCTGAGTTGACATAAAAAAACAGATGCATCTCAATTTCTTACGTTGAATTTACCTATGTGTATTGATGAAGGTTACTATATCCGTTAGCATTATTGAATGAAACATTTGTTCCTCCAGGAATATGGAGAGTACGAAGTAACAGAATGAAGATTATTAATCTGTCTTCTCGTTAAAAAAAAATTGAGAACCGTATTACCACACTCAAAATTGTTCTGAAAAAATGTCAGGAGGTGAAGGTAGTTTCAATCCTTCTACAATTTCTTTTGGGTTTCCTTGATGACTGAAACGATAGTAATCCTCTAAAATGCACTTTTGTCAAAGGACCCCGCACTTTCCTTATGGAAAATGGATTTCTGTAAAATTTCCTGAATTTTTGGTATGATGTAGATTTTGACTCCCTGAGCATAAGTCTCCATGGGCACAAAGAAATCGGCTGACTAGTTTTCGAGATACAAGGTGTCAAAGATGAAAAGTGAAGCTTTCTGCTCAGAATTTTTAACAACTTCGAGAATTGACAAAACGCTAAATGTCCCATTTCTAGGTTTTCGTCGGGTTGATTAAATTTTTTCTTTTTGTATAAACTATATACATTTCACAGAAATCATATAAAATATTTCTCCATCTGATTTGAAATAGCTTTCAAATACTGTTTCTTCGGAAACAAGGCTTTCAAATGAAAAACATTTCATTCACCCTGTATATAAGGTATTGCATTTTTGGAATAGGTACCGCACCCCGAATATTTTTCAACATGAATTGTTGGAAAATAGCCCATTTCGGACTACAATGGAGTATATCGGGTATCAATAAAATCCGTACATTCAAAAGTATATAGCCGACAAACGAGTCCGGAGACCTATGCTAATCCCTAATAACACACTTATGTCCCATGGATATCCTTAGGACGTCCTGTCGGGACATTCAGGACGTCCATAGGACGTTCGAATTTGGTTCCGTGGACGTCCATTGGACGTCTGTGGGACGCACAAATGTCCCATTTGAGGACCAACTAGGGACGTCCTTGAGGGATGTCCCTGGGACAACTATCGAATGCCTGAATCCTACAATATTCCTCATCAAGCACTACAGAGAACATCCTTAGGACATCCATAGGACAACCTATCAGCAACGCTGAGGGATATCAATTGGATGTCCATAGGATGTCCCAGGGACGTACGATTTATTCTTGAATTTGAATTTTTCTGGGTCCCTCTAGGACCAGATCTTGCATAACTGATTAGGACATCCAGTTGATTTGATGGTCCGTAGAAGGTCCCCAGAAAGTGTCCCAAGAATGTACAATATGGACGTGAAGGACATTGACGAGGAGTACTTATAGCCTAAGAGCAATCATTCGTCAGCGAGGTGTAAGTTAACGTCCTCGCAGGGACAACATTTTGAAAGTACCGACTGGGACGTTCATAGGACGTTATTTCTAGGACATTAGAAGAGTACAGTTCATGTACCAATTGGGATATCCGACGGATATCCCTAAGGGACATTCGAAGGATGTCCCTAAGGGATATTTTGATTGTTATACGATCCTGGAAATATTAAGGGCGTCTGTGCAGAGATATTTGAAGGAATGTACCATCAGGGACATTCCATGGTTGTCTAGAAGGGACATTATATAAGATCTGAAGTCATGCCAGAATATGTACTACTCGGGACATCCGACGGATGTCCCGAAAGGAACGTTTAAAATCATATCCCATCAGGGACATGCCAAGGACGTCCTTGCATGGACATTCTACAATATGTACCACGTGGGACGTCTAAGGGATGCTATTTCTAGGACATTTGAAATGATGTACCAGCTGGAACATTCCGTGGACGTCCTTGCTCGGACATTGCATGAGATGGACGGGATGGGACGTCCCAAGGACACTTATTTTTGTTTCGGGACATTCGGACGTGAATTTTACCAAATAGGGACGTCCCTAGAACGTTGTGTGTGCTATTTGGGATATTGATGACAATATCTCGGACTCCTCAAATAGTACTTTATATAAAAAATTGAAGATAATCAACAGATTCTTTTTCGAAATACAGGGTATTCATTGAAAAAAACCACATTATTTCAAGAAACTTGGACTGTATCTTTTTACTCACCCTATATATATGATATGAGTATGCGACGTTCTCGACATAGAAGAATGTCTGTTATATATATGACATGCTCTCTCTTTTCCGATTAAAAAAACTAGGGATTGACGTACCCCTATTTTTGAACCACCCTGTATAAATGAAAAAAATGTCAGTAAACTTCGATCGGGATCGAGGAAAAGTTCGTCCAGGCTCAATTGAATCCGCAATTCTCATGAAAGAACTTACCCTGGTTGGTTTAAAATTAATCGAATTGGATGTTTCTTTGTTCACCCTGTTGTAGAGCCCAAAACGTAAAATTATAATGGATACGAGATCCAGATGACATTGTACCATCATTCAGGCATGGTATTCCATGAATAAATGGGCGTTTTGTCAATTCTCGGAGTTGTTAAAAATTCTGTGAAGGAAAGCTTCACTTTTCATCTTTGACACCCTGTATCTCGAAAACTAGTCAGCCGATTTCTTTGTGCCCATGGACACTTTTGCTTAGGGAGTCAAAATCTACATCATACCAAAAATTCAGGAAATTTAACCGAAAGCCATTTTCCATGAGGAAAGTGCGGGGTCCTTTAATTATATTTCGTCCACTCATCTCTGAACAGCGAACAAAAATGTGCTTTTTTATGTAAACTTCGAACTGTCCTCACGAAAAAATGATACACTTTGGTTTTGATACCTATACAGGGTGTTTCATCGGGAAAGGTGAATACAATACAACTTTATCAGGTTAATTTTGATGCCTCATCAAACTTTTTTGTTTGATTTCTCTAAGTTTAATTATCACCTTTTGGTAATTCAAGCAGGGCACGTGGGTTCTTGTAAAATATGAACCCGACCCTTAACTGATGAATTTATGATATAATAAATTTATGACATAATAAATAAATGACATTTTACAGTGACAATCATGGAGCATATTTCCCTGTTTGCACTGTTATTAACTAGACTATTTGTAGGTGCACTCGCATATGAATCATGTTTTCGAAAAAGAAAACTAATTAATTGGAAGGGTAATGAGGACTACAACAGGGTGATTCAAACATGCCCCAAGCCATATACAGGGTGGCCCACGGTCGATGGTACCTTAGACGTATACGGAAAACGGTACATTGGATTATCCTGAAAATTTGGTTACTTTAATAAGCGTTTGTGATCTAACGATTCAAAATATTTTCAGCGATGCAGCGTTGCCACTTTTACCAAAAAGTAGCATCATCTTTGTTATTCCAAATGGAACACCCTTTATTTCATTGCGTTTTTAGATTGTTCTCGAAGAGCTGATTTCATCAATGTATCACACTTGGGGTCTAGCAGGAATTATAACAGAGATATAGGGTGTTCAAAATCGAGATTTTTCAATTTCAGGAATTTTTTGTGTCTAAACTATTCATTATCGATCAAAACGGCTTACATGTCCCTATCTTAACTTTTGATTCACTATCTACTGACATTTAATTGGAACATATACAGGGTGATCAAAATTCTGAATCTTGGACCATCCTGTATTTTTTCCAATTAAATGTCGGTAGATAGTTTTGCCGTTAGCCGTTTTGACCAACGATGAATAGTTTCGAAACAAAAAAATCCTGAAGTTGAAAAATCTCGATTTTGATCACCTTATATATCTCTGTAATAATTCCTGCTAGACCCCAAGTGTGATACATTGATGAAATCAGCTCTTCGAAAAGAATCTAAAAACGGAATAAAATACAGGGTGTTCCATTTGAAATAACAAAGATGATGCTACTTTTTGGTAAAAGTGGTAACGCTGCTTCGCTGAAAATATTTTGAATCGTTAGATCACAAACGCTAAGGTACCATCGACCGTGGGCCACCCTGTATAATGACTAACTTTTATGACTTATCTGAAATATCGCATCTACATCGCATAATATTAAAAATATAGATCACTAGGCAGTGATGTCTAGGTATATCGTCCATATCCCTGTCAACAAGGAAAATTTCTTGCTCTGAACCGTATTCGAAACTGTACATTATTGCATAGATAAAGAAATCAGCGCATATGCACAATTCTCATGATCATTAAATTATAAAATTATACTACCAGTTGGCAGTTTGTTTTTTCTTACGGTAGATAATTCTTAGTGCTTGCTCATAAAAGTAGGTAACCATATGAAGATAATTCTTAGTCAAACAGCTGACATAGAGCATATTATGATGTGGTCAAATTAATAACAGACAACCGGATATTCTCTTGCAATTTCCTTCCATCATAAAGTCTTTCAGCTTTCATCAGTCAATGCAAGTTAATGATAATTAGAATCCAATTTCCAGTTCCAACATCAGTTACCTATACAGGGCTCCTCAGGGGCTCACGACTTGTGAGTACGGGAATGGCAATCCCGAGGTACCCTAGCCGGATACTCATTAATCTTCAACTTGTCTTTGATAGTATCCTCTTCACTCTTCAGTTTCCAATCTTTTTCTCCATCGGCCTCCCTTGGTCACTTCTCCTCTTTTCCTTCTACCCTAAAGCCCAACCTCACCATAGTGCGGGGAGGACAAGCCGCGGCTGCTCGGCAGATTGAGCATTTTGGGAACATCTTTGCTATCATCACTCAGATGGGACAGTTCTGTGGACATCTGAGTGCGAGGATGGGGCAATTTGTGAGCATCTGCTTATGTGGCCGCGGATTGATAACGAGGCTCTGGCAATCCCCTCAGGGGCTCACAACTTGTGAGTACGGGTGTGG